TCGAATAGGGGCAGAAACCAGGATTGGAGAGATCTCATTTGAGACACACATGCTGTACAACTGACGTCATAAAGATCATGGTGCCTAGAACTCATTGCACTGTTAAGGCAGATATCAAGGCATGAGGAGTGAAGCCACGAAGTAAGGTGAAGAGATTTTCTCTCTTTTCTACAGGGAGAAACGTGCGAGCTCGTGTGGAGTCTATGAGCGTGTCTATGTAATGTATAGTCCTTGTAGGTTTTAATTTTGATTTCTGTTGATAGACTGAGAGTGCGAAGAAGGGCAAGGGTGAAATGGGTGTCTCGTTGAGCTTTGCAACGTGAGTGTGCTACAAGAAGCCAGTCATCAATATATGGAAAGACAAGAATGTTTTGAAGTCTGAGGTAGGTGGCTACCGGCGCCATGCACTTGCCGAATACTCTTGGAGCTGCTGCAAGGTATGCTTGTGATCCAAGTTGAATTGGTATGCTTGTGATCCAAGTTGGAAATGAAGGAATTTTCTGTGTGCGGAGTGTACTGCAGTATGAAAGTGAGCATCTCATAGGTCTATGACGGTGAACCAGTCATTTTTTTTAAAGTAAGGGAAGAACTGATTCTAGAGTAACCATGCAGAATTTTGTGGTGACAATGTAGTTGTTTAATAATCTTAAATCTAGAAATGGGTGAAGTCCCCTTCTTTTTGGAGGATGTTGAAATAGCGAGATAAAACCCCGGTGTTTTGTTAGGCAGGTTGTATGGCATCTTTGAGAAGTAAATTTGTTATTTCTTCTTGCAGGAGTTGTGATGGAGGAGTAACGATGTGTGTTGTCAGAGGAAGTTCAAAGAAGTGGATGCAGTAACCGTTTTTGATGGAGTCTACCGCCGAGATCCATGGTCAGAGCCATCGAGGTTGCATCTGGAGTCGACGGACTGTCAATCGACTTCAGTGTTCAGAGACTGAGTTTTGTAGCAATACCGGTTAAGGGTAAAAAAAGATGGAGGCGGTATGTCCATGGACATCTGTCAATGTCGAGGATCGTTGACATCAAAAGATGGTGACTGAAAATTGACGGACCTCGATTGGTAGGGATGGACTTCGGTATTGAGCTCGGTGTCATAATGGTGCTGGGGTTGATGACTTGGATTTACCGGAAGACGGGAACTCTGTTGATGTAACGGAATGGAGCGTGTGTCCATGGACCAGAATGAATATCAAGGGTCGTCAATATCAGAGCCTGTCTCTGTGATGTCGAAACGGAGGTTGCTGATACAATGGCATAGCAGTAGAATAAATGGACACTGTCGATGCAGAGTATGAACAGTGATTTCCATCATTGTAATAGGAAAGTATTGGGAGGCTGGGGCTGCAAAAGCCTCACGTGTGGATGAAATCTGCTCAACCATCCGAGGTTTTTTCGATACTAAGTAGGGAACAGGTTGAGGTATAGGCACCTCTCGGTGATGTGGCCGCTTTGACACTGATGGTTGTCGAGAGGTAGGCCGACTACTAGATGGTATTATCAAACCAGGTAAAACACCTGGTCGACTAGTCGGTATAGTTTGTCGAGCACAGCACTGGTCAGGTCAAATGGCAACCCAATGTGCATTCTGAGAGTGAGTTTGAACAACACGCAGTGAAGCAAGCTGTCAAGTTTGTTGATGTTGACAGTTCTGGTTAGGGATTGGTGGGTGATCCGAGGGCATCAAATATGGAACGGTGTCGAGCCGTTAGTCGGTCAACTCTATCGTCCCATTCTGGAGACTGAGAACAGGGTTGATAAGATGGAAGTCTGTCATCATCTGAGGGAGACCCGACCGAAATTGATTCAGAGAGTTGTTGTGGTGGAATGTCTGTAGGTTTAGACTGTTTAGCTTGTTTAAGAGGAACAGGCTCCGGAGCTGGAGCAGCTTCAGTAGGTCTGACATTTAGAAGTTGTTTTGAAGTCAAGGACTTTGGTATTGACGGTTTCGATCTGTGTGTCTTCAAGGTCTTAGATGATGCAGATGGAGAATTGGAATGAGCTGGTGTAGCCAATGGACGTTGTTTCGATGATTGAGTAATGGCTTTTTCCATTCCTTTGGTTTGGGAGGTTGGGCCATTTGAACTGGTTGTAAGGATTGTTCCCAAAGTCGGAGTTTTAGCCTCAAGAGGCAAGATTGAAGAACTCTGCACTTAAAATTTTTGCAATGGGTACAGGAGGAAGTTTGATGTTGTTCTCTCAAATAGAAAAGGCACTTAGCGTATCAAATGGAAAGTGAAGAAAAACGGATGATTGTAGTGGGGGTACTGCGGCCCGAGCGAGGGGGAAAGGAAAAAAAAATCTCTGATGATAATGGTTTGATCTAATACTTTAAAAGAAAAAAACATTGATAACAGAAAGGAATAGCAATGGGTACAGGAGGAAGTTTGATGTTGTTCTCTCAAATAGAAAAGGCACTTAGCGTATCAAATGGAAAGTGAAGAAAAACGGATGATTGTAGTGGGGGTACTGCGGCCCGGAGCAGAGCGAGGGGAAAGGAAAAAAATTTCTGATGATAATGGTTTGATCCAATACTTTAAAAGAAAAAACACTGATAACAGAAAGAAATAAAGAATAAGCTCTCTTTCTCTTTTTACTCACAGAAGCAGAATTATGAGGCTCTCAATGGGGCAGTTGAAAGAAACTGAAAGGGGATGCTTGGCGCCAAAGTACTTATACGGATGGGGAGGGACATATTCTAATGTCTTTATTGCTACTGCAGAAGCTCTAGAATCTTCCGATGAGGCTCCGCGCAGGCACGAATCACCCAGGGTGTGATTCACAAAGGCCACGAAGAAGAATCTACTTTTCAGTTCCCGGCTGATGCTTAGGGTTTTGTACCTTTTTGTTGGCACTCCTGAGTGCCAACCATTGGAATAATCTGGGATCATCAAAAGACTGATACAGCCTTCTAGTAGTGATCCTTTGGAACCAAGTACAACCAGTTTCTGAGAGTAAAGTTGCTCACATACACTCCAGTTTGGATGCCTCTTCAATGGACTGGAAGTCTCCTTACCACCTGAGACTACATTTGATAGAACTTCAGTTGATCTTGTCTCAGAATAGAGATAAGAAACTCAGAGAAGCCCATGATACAATTTGCTCACTTGCTCTGCATCTGTCTTGGATGGTGAAAGCTTTCCTAAGGAATGAAAGCTAGATGGGCAAGTTTGTCAATTATGATAATTAATTTGCCCTTGTTAGAGGAACGTATTTCAGAGACATCACACAGATTTAGTGACTTGTGGAATTCTTTGCTAGCTTCTACTAGCCTTTAGAAGTCTATGTGCTCAAGAATATTATTATTATTATTATTATTATTATTATTATTATTATTATTATTATTATTATTATTATTATTATTATTATTATTATTATTATTATTATTATTATTATTATTATTATTATTATTATTATTATTATTATTATTATTATTATTATTATTATTATTATTATTATTATTATTATTATTATTATTATTATTATTATTATTATTATTATTATTATTATTATTATTATTATTATTATTATTATTATTATTATTATTATTATTATTATTAT